CAACAAACATAAGTTAAATTCAGTATTTGTGAATAATAGCTTATGATGGCTCACTCCTACAAGTATCAGGCAAGTGGTCAAGGATTATGCCTGATAATATATCCCAGTATATGCGAGGAAATTCGTTAATTGTTATGAGAAATTGAGTTTCGTATGATAAACTATTATTTGTGTTCAATAGTCCTAAGGGAGATAGTTATTTTCTGAGGTATATAAGTAAGATTTGATAACAGTTTTTTTTCTCCTAACAATTATTATTTATTTTATTATGACGTTTCATTTAATAAATAACAAAAATATTCAAATTTCTAGTCTGAAGATGGTATATGAAAGTAGATCCCGAAACGTCATAATAAAGAATAATTGTTGGGAGAATAAATATTATTATCAAATCTTATTATTTTTGTTTTTATTAATGAGCATATTTTCCTTTTTATGTAAAATATGCATCATTTTTATTTGTCGGGTATTTAATTCTTGGTTTTAAAATCCTCATGGATTTGTGGTGTTTATCCATTTCAATCTACTTTTCAGTACAACTGCATATTTACCAGAATTTTTCTTTGTGTTCATCATTTTCAAGATATTACATGCATTATATTCTTAATTTTAATTGGCGCTATACAATTCATGATTTTTATTGGCACAATTAAATGCATACAATCAGCACAAGCTTGATGACTTGTCTACTAAAAATAGATCGTTCTCAGTACTGGACGAAATTTTTTTGTTTTAATCACTTTAATCCTTGAGAATAAATTTGTTGTTTTCCAAATTAAAGCTAGATTATTCGAGCATAGAGAAATAATAGCTTAAAGAAAATATAAAAAATTAGTTTATTCTCTCCCTTCTTTTTTAAATCAGTTTTGACATCTTATTCTCATTTCAGCCTGTTAATAATTTTAAAATTAAGATTATTATGATATATATTGTTTGTCAATGAATTCAAGCTTGAAGTTCCAGAGTTTAATGATTTAATTTTTCTTTAAGCTATTATTTCTCTATGCTCGAATAATCTAGCTTTAATTTAGAAAGCACAAAAAATTTATGAGTGATACAGAACTGAAAAAAAAAAAAAAACCAAATGGTGTGGAAGAGCATTATGATGCCAACTTATAAAAAAAATTGAAATTTGGATTGAGGTTAAACCTATCAACTATTGGACTAGTATTTTCCCTCTGAAAATTTAATAACAACAGAAACTGAAATGGTAATTCCTAATTAATTATATGTGGATAAGGTGGATATATTAAAATTATAGTTAACTCTAATATATAAGTTGCAACGAATACTTGAAAATAGTGATCTGCTGCAGTTGAATTTTATTAAATGATATATTTTAAAATAAAATTGAGGCTTATTTAAAGGATCCCAATACCAATTTTTTAAAAATAAACCTTTAAATAATTGAATTATTGATAAATAATTATTGGAGAGAAGATTGGTTGGGATATTCAGTCAAAAAAAGTTAAAAATAAATTATATTTATTTTTATTTTTTGCGACATATCAGCCCAAAGTTCAGGGCTGGTCAAACAAAAGATTCCTGAAAGACCAATTATTCACTACAGTCAACTATAAACCATTATGATTAATAATTATATATTAACAAATCTGGAATGCATTATTAGATTTATTGATATAATAATATATGATATTTGGGATATTATGATATGGATCATATTTCTTTAGCGATTAAGCATTTTAAAAAGTAGTTCTTATTTATTTATTTTTTTATTTTAACCTCTACAAGTTTGATAGAATGTTTGACAATGTTCATAAAATAATAAGTAACAATTTTACATTTCATTTTTTTTTTTTATAATCATGGAGGTTTTGAGCCTGGCCAAAAGTTTGGCTGCCTGGACCAATAACAATTTATTACATTTATATGAATAGAATAGGAACAGGGTAGCTTAGTGGTAGGGCACTAAGCTTCCAATGCTCAAGGTACCAGGTTCGAATCCCGGCTCATGGCATAAAGATTATTTATTCTGTTTCATTGGCCTTGGTGCCACCCTGGAGTAGAAGGACTCTCCTGGGACACACCTAGCCCCTACAAAGTGGGTACCCTTCATTAAATAATTAAGGGGGAAAACCTGATGGTTGAGCGTGATCCTGGCCCAATCCTCTCCTTGTGCAACCGCTGGCCTGGAAACAGTACTTTCCCTAAACAGTACTGAACCCAAGACACTTTATGAATTGTAGTGATACATGGTTTATATCAATAGAATAGACCACATTTTATGGAGCTAATTAAAAAATTAAATGGAAATAAATTATTAATGGAGTTCAAAGTCGTCTTGATTTTAAATTATAGAAGTAGCATTATGGTTTATTCACTATTTTTACAAGGATAGTGGTAGTTACATTACAAATAATAATTATTTGTTACATAAATTTTCAATTTATGTCATACAATTTAAGTAATAGTATGGTTCATCTTTTAATTATTTATTTCACGATTTTTTTTATATATTAGGCCATATCATAATTTTATAATCTAATAGAGATCTCAATCTAGATTAGGAATTATCAAACTATAGTCCGCAGCTGCAGGTAAACACTGGCCACAAGCACCACCATTCCAGATTTCCAAAGTCTATTTTGAATGCATTGTAAAATTTACAATGCATGTTAATCTTCCAAAATGATCTTAATGATTTTTGGAAATTTTTATTAAATGAATAATTAAGAAACATAATAGCTGGTATACATACTTGGAGATTGTCATTATGACTTGGCCCTTAGAAATTATAGAGAAATATTGATTTAGGTCATAGTTTTTCCCTAGTTTTTCAGATTAGTTTCCATATTCATCAAGCATGATGAAATTAAAATATATATATATATATATATATATATATATATATATATATATATATATATATATATATATATATCATTGGAATATATATTATTGTGTATCATAACAAAATTAGTTAAGTGTAAATTAGTTTTAGAATAAAACATTTATTTAGTGCATTTAATCAATGGATGTAAGGAAGTCATGTACTTTTGAAACATTATTGATTGAAACTATGATGTTTAATTGTCCTTAAAGAGGCGGTAAAGATGTTTTCTTTACTTAATTTTGACACTAATCTCGAGTCTTTGTTCTGTTTATTTAAAAATAAAAATTGAGTTGAGTAAGAATTAAATTCTTACTCAACTCAATTTTTATTTTTTGGTTTTGAGTTTTGGTTTTATCATTTTATTTAGCTTTCTTTTCTTTATGGAAATATGGTTGTTATTTAGGGCAAAAGATGATAGACTGAATGCTGAGTTCATTAATGTCATCGGATCTGTCTCTAAACTGTGCGGAACAATGCCATCCATGAACTCAGCACCTAGTTCGGATTTTAGGAACTTTCTCTTATAATAATAATAATTTTTTTTGTTCACAAATACATTATTATAGAATAAATTACACCCATGAAATAAAAATACATATTATATATTGGATATGTTATATAAGATGTATATACATATCAACAGGATCAAATTTTTTTTTTTTTTATGATAATTGATTGCACTAAAAATAATTTGAATTTTATCATAAAATTAAAATATAAATTAGGAGAATTTTTTATACTCAGTTTTTTTGTGCCTTTGTTAAAGGAAGTGAAATAGAGGTAGAATGATGAAAAGTTACTTTTACTTACTAAAACACGTTTGAATTTATGCTATACTTGTGAAATAAGTTTTAATTAAGGGTTTTCATTCTCAAAACATACTCATAGAATACAATCAGTGAGGCAAACTAGCTATCGTGGGAAAAAACGTGCTAAACGATCAGGTACAGACTTCAAGTTGGTTATGGTTTTGCAACATACATTTAAATAAAATATTTATGAGAAGCCATTTCAATAAAAAATATTGAAAAGGAAATAGATCCTTAGCGGGATATTCATATATACTTTGTTTTATTAACGGAATTAAGTATCAATTTGTTGTTCTCAACCTGATCATGACTACGCAGCACTCCAGATCAGATTGCTGGTCATAAGCAATTTCGTTAAGTGTGTCTGTAAGTAATAATATATTTGCAGTATTATTTTAGAAATTATCAAATACTTGCAAAACTTTCTCGATTGAAAATTTAGCAAAAATTAATGAAACAATTTATATGCTTAACAGATATACAAATAGGAAAAAATTACGTATGTAAATTTAAAATGTTTAAGACAAAATCTTTTCGGACACAACCATGGGCGTCTGCAGGATAGATAAGGGGGGACCGTTGTCCTCCCTTCCCTCCTAAATAATTTGAAAGAAACTAAAATCTAATATATATAGATATATATATTTTTTTATCGAGTAATATTACATTCTGTCACACTCAAGAACATTAGGAATAGTGATAGAGTAGCTCATTCACACTATGTACAATAAATTAAACTGCAAAATAATAATACTAAAAGTAAATATGTATAAACAAAAATAAACTAAAATAATCAAAATAACAACTGAAATACAGGCATACTACAATACAATATTTACAAAATTCATTCACTCAGGAGAACTCTGAGCCAAGCCTTTCTCCCCGCTCGTGAAAGGAAAGGCAGGACTCAAGGAGATCCCAGTGCTTCTCATTCTGCAGCATTAGTATTATTAAGAAACAGTATAATATAATACAAAAGATTTTCAGAAAATTCGACAAAATCTTGACGATCATGAATTATTATCCTTCTATATGATTTATCATACTATTAAATAAAAGAGTAGGACACTTTTCTTTAATAACCACTAGCCTCAAAAGCTGCTGAATCAATATTTACCCAATTTTAACATCTTTATTGTCCTAGGTTTAACAATAATAAAATCTACCTATTTTTTATGGAGCAGTAACCGTGAACATCAATCAAATCCAGAACACTTAGTTAAAATGTCTTAATTAAACCTATCAATTTAGTTTTGTGTTGTATTTCTTTATTCTATCATTTCTTTACCTTAAAAAAAAATAATTTGCAACTTCATTTAATATTAGTCCCTTTTCAGAATAAATGATCTTGGTGCTCATTAAATTATTCATATAAAGTCATTGAACTTACCTTTCCAATGTCCCAAGTACAATGCTTCCTGATTAATAGGTGCAAGACATGATTGATGGGACCTTTTGCAGTTGATAACCCTGGGTTAAGCAATACCGTCACAACAGACTCCAATAAAACTCATAGCTTGAACCATTGTTTGTAAAAAATAACGATGTTGGCATTGTCTATTCACACTAGTGGGTATCGTGGAGGTCTGTCGGTAGTTCGCACACAAGAGCTGGATAGAAGACCTGCTTTGAGTTTAAAGGTAAACACTTTATTTCGTTAAATAAAAAAGAGTACCAATTTTTCAAGTTTATCTTTACGCTAACAGGCGCATTAGATTTATCATACAATAGAACAAGGTATCCATGGGACTGCATGTTGCGTATTTAATAATAGTTTTTTTATGGAGTTACCCAAAATATCTATTATATTTTGGATATTTAACATAAAGGAACCAATCCTCATTACAGATTTTTTGAGTAAAACTAAAGTCAAAGTTAAATGGCCTTGAAAATCTGGGACTTTCAAATTTTATAATTTTTTTTGTCAAAAATCAAATTTTATTCTATTTTGTATCCAAACAAAAATATTTTTTGAAAAACCAGAAAACAAAATCATAGCACCAGTTCTGCATATTTTATGGATTGGTTCACTTCTGTCATAGGGCATCCATTTAAATTTAAGTAAGTAATTTTTATGATTATGAATGTTTGGGGGTATACACATATTCAATAGAATCCCAGTTATCCTGATTCATGATTAACGGAAACGTTTTTTTTCTTGTTTTTCTTTTTGTAATAATTTTGCTTTTATTCACAATAAACTGACACAAAATTATACTATATCATGTTAACCGAAATTAGTAATTTTAATATAATTTATTTAAAACGCCTTTATGAAAAAAGAAGGATCAGATAATTGTTTTTTATTTCACACACGTATGTATATAATTTGGAAAGTTTCTTGGATTCAATTTTATTTTATCTAATAAAAATTACTAAGCGGTATGTATATGACTTCGTTGTCTCCCTTAAACAAATGTAGATCATTGTTCTTCTTGTAGTTTAAGCCGGGTTTGGACATTTCACAAACTACAGGAAAAAAAAAATAAATAGTTATTTCACTATGCTAGTTCTTTTAGTTGTTTTTGATATTTTCCATCCATCTAGCTGTCGATATCAAGATAAATAAAATAAATAGCTTGGTTTAGTAATAATTTTGTTGTTAGTTAAATTAAATAATTGTGTTTCCCATAGTTTGTGAAATGTTTAAGCGCTCTTTAATCTTGAAATTTAGGCTCTCTAATAATGTTGAATTATTATTTTTTCACGTTTTTTATATTATTTTAAATTAACAATTATTTTTTTTCGGAAAAATACCATTGAAGGTGTTAATGATAAAGATGTTTTAGGCCATCATATAGGAAGCACTGACTGATGGAGTCTTCTGTGATATATATATATATATATATATATATATATATATATATATATATATATATATATATATATATATATATATACATCTCTATGTGTGTGAAAAATTATGCTAAGTGCGTTCAACATAAGTTAATAACTATAAAATTATGTATTTTTTCAAGTTATGGTTTATATGATATATACTGGTCATGGTCGTGAAAAGCCATTGTTTGATGTAAATACCGTCCATGAAGCATTTAGCATTGGGTTAAAGATTATTTTAAAAAATTGTAGCTAGGTAGTTACAAATTTTTTTTTCTAACCTATTTCACCTCTAATAACCTGATAGTGAAACATATTACTTAACTTTTTATGTTTCAGTAAAATGCTTTTTCTCTCTTCTAATTACTCTCATATAAAGAAATGAAAACTTAAATAATAATTCAAGATGACTCATGAGTAAACTAAACTAAACTAAAAATAAATAAATAAAAGGAGAAAATATATATACTATACGGTCATATTTTAAGAATATCGTAGAATTTGATCGGTGCCTAGATGTTTTTCTCATTTCTGTTATTTCTCCAGGAAACCTAAAGTTCATTTGAATTGGCTCTTACATGAATATTCTGATTTAATATAGAACATACCAATTCAAAAAACAAGTTATGATTTACATTTTTCATCATTAAGATTTTTTATTCGTAAAAAAAAGAATTTATTTCTAATCTGACTATTTTTATTATGTAATTTTTATTTTATTTTTTGCTAACATATTTGATAATCATTTTTAAACGAAAAATAATCGAATGAATTCTCATCGAATTTGATTTTCTAGTGCTGAAAAAATTATAATTTAAAATACTTTTTTTGATAAACAAGTTTTAAAGATACGTTCTATGTAATTTTTAAAAACCATTTACCAGCGTGAATATTTCCGAATTCCACAGCATTATGTATTAGATAATCACTTGACTTGCAACATTAAAAAATACTATCTAAAATATTAATTTTCAATTAATATATTGACGTTCCATTTTCGAAACCTCTAAAATCTTAAAGTCTATTAAAACAAATTTTCTACGGGAAAAAAAATGTATAAGAGAAGAATAAAAATTTTATTCATTTTTTTTTTTTTTTTTATATTGAGATCTCCCTGACATTGTTAAAAACACAACACCACACATTATGAGTATTGAACCCCATTAAAGCCCATTGTATTTTAGTAATTTAGACTTGCTAGGTCTTTAAGTATGCCGTCGATATAATTGAAATTTACCAACGTTACTGACTCATAAAATTTTAGAAAAAAACAACAAAAAACCTAATAGATCAGCCAGTTAATGTTTCACCAATTCAGGAATCATCAGGATAGACATTAGTCATCAAATATTAATTTGCACATCTTACATCAATAGTTTAAACATGATACATTAACAAAAAAAAAAATATATATATGTGTGTGTGAGATTTTTTTTCTTTATTTATATGTGATATCGTCTTTGTCTGTCCTGAGACTATAAATTAAAGGAACGTTTACTGCTTAGATATTCACTGTTACATTGCATCTTAAGTTTTGTTGCTCCTCCCTCAGTGTTAATTGAATTAGTTATTTTTAATTTAAAGACAATTATGTATTGATGAAATTTACAACTCTATTAAAATAGAAATATGATTCAGAGAAATATGATATCGTGAAAAGAATTGTAGAGAAACTATCTATAGGAAGCACCAAATAAAATTTCTAAAATAGGTGATGACGAGGCCGTCTTTGTTCCAAACGTCGCCTTGGTAGGTTATCAAGGATCGAAGAGGAATCAATGATCGGTGCCTAGTAGTTTGAGAGGGTTCGGTTGGTTCTGAAGTTTATTATGGAAAGATAGGTATCTGGATTGGGCCAAATCGGAACATATTGCTACTGTTAGTGCAAAAGGGCGTTCATAAAAGATTTTTTGCAGTAGGTTCTTTTAAAAACCTATCATTTCTTTATGATTTATTAGCATGGTTCCATATGTTGTTTCCCTCAGCTATTTTCTTTCTTAGAAAGCACTTATAGCCATTTCAGACTACAAAATGTCACCTTTAGCCCAAAGAGAATAAACGTGTAAAATTGTTACATACCACTTTTTGCACTAACAGTGCAATATTGAACATTACGGTCGTTATGGATGATATTTTGGTTTTTAATTTTAAGGCATTGTTTTTGAAGTCTTTTAATTGTATCCGAACAATAAGGGTGAACGCACCAGTTATGGAAAGGGGGGGGGCAGGTTGGACTTTGAATGTAAAGAATAAGCTTCTATATTGATTGAAAGGTTCCATTTTTTTTTTCTATATTGAAGAACAATGCTCTCTATTGACAACTGTATGAATAAAGTTCCCCCCCAAAAAATTTAAAATGTCTATAATTGTTGGTTCTATAGTGCTTTTGTGATCAGCGTGTTTCATACTTAACACGGGCGCATCTACGGGGCGTTCTTTCGGGCTGAGACCCCTCTCCCCCCAAAAAATGGTAAAATATAACCATGTTCTATGGAAAAATAAATTAAAAAATTATCTCTTAAAGTATTATTGTTCGTGTAATTACATTTAAAAAGACTTAAGGAATCACTTAAACACTATTTCATATGGATAGTTAGTTTCTTTCTTTTTTTCCAAAGTAATTATCGTCATTTTTATGAAAAAAAAAATTTTCGGGCTGAAGCCCCCCCAAAATAAAAATCCTGGATCCGCTAGTGATATCTGACAACTAACAGTTTTGTTAAGAGTTAGTTGAATTTATGTTATCTTTTCTATATCGCTGTCTTTATAGTTAAATAATTGCTTGTACCGACATCATGTCCATTACCAGAACAATTGAATTTCGGTGTGTGTCCTTCATTAGTGCAAAAATGTGTTGTTTTTTTTAAAGAAGGTTATACCTGCATAACTAAACATTTTTTCAATTTTAAAGTGTTAAATAGAAAAAAGGAGAACCTAGAGATTTTAAATGTCCAAAGGAGAAGTGTATAACTATAATAATTACGGCGGCATAAGCGAAAAAAATACAAACATTTCCTTAGTTACTTTCATCACTGATGCGCTTACCCTATTATTTCTCTTTTATATAAATATTTTTTTCACTCCTCGAAGACCCAATATAAATCATATCACAGTGATAATTTATTTTTCTATTTGTTTAGGTTGAATAGTCGTTTATAATTTTTCTGTCTCGCTTACTTTTATCATATTTTTTTTTTGGCAATTTCCTTATTTTTGTTACAACAAGAAATTTTCAATTGAGGTGATTTTATGAATTTTAAAAAGTCTTTCGAATCGTGAAAAGTTTTCTAGCAGTTCAATTTAATTTATACTTGACTATTCATTTAGGATTATTATGGAATCGAAAAGAAAAATAGTACTCCAAATTAATACCAGTACTTCAGGATAACCTCTCTCTTTCTATATATATATATATAATAAATGAATACTATGGGCACGATAAATAAATAAATTCTTGAGACGGGCTCCCTGCCGAAATCGGTTTTATTGTATAATTGATTTTTTATTTGTACGATGATAAATACTTAAAAATAATAAATAATTCCAAGTGTTATTGCCGAGTCTAGAGTTTCATGCGATGCACTTGTATTTATAAGTTTTAACTAGCTTACTGGTTTTAACTGACTCTCATCTCCGTGCGTCCTTATTGATTAATTTATGAGCAGAGGTTTTCTAGCCCATCTGTTTTGAAAGCTCATGTATACAATGTTTGTCCGTTCCGTGCATATGCTTTTTTAAATAAAATTTCTTTTTCGAATCATATGAGAAGT